TTAGAATACCTAACAAATTTTTATATATAAAAATATTTATATATATAATTTTTTAAAAAATTTTAATTTATTTTATAAACTGTATTAAATTTAGTACAAATCAGTAAATCCAATCCATTAATATATAACTTTTGATAAGTTAGTTAATTTTTAAATATATTAAAATAAAATATAAATATTGAATTACAGTATACAATATACTGTATTAGATAAATTTGATTTAAATTACAATTTTTTAAAATTTAAAATTTAAAACTGTACTAAATTTAGATAGCAAATAAATACCTATTAAGCAAAAAAAATAAATTATTTTTTTTTATCTAAAATATAATATAAAATAAATTAATAAAAATTTATTTAAATTGTATAAAATTTTCAAAATATAGTTAAATCTTGATATAATTATCAGCTTGAAAAACAAGAACCTAACGACTTAATACTAAAAAGTTAATTTACTTAGTATTATTTTTGATTTTTGTATATATTAACTACTGTATTTTAGTCATAATTATATATATATATTTATTAATAAAAAATTTTAAAAGGCTTCTAAAAAGTGTAATAGAGATTATAAGCCATTTGTGATTATATAAAGTATTTTGAATATAAAAAAATGATAATAAATTTTGTGTAATCATATAGAATTTGTGACTATAGAGGAAGTAACTGTAGAGAAGAACGACTGTATTAAAACTTAAATTAAAAATTTTTTTTGTACATTTGATACTTATAAAATCATCATTGTTCTCTATAATAAAATTTAAAATTTAATAAATAATAGAACCTTTACTTACGGTAATGGCATATATAGCATACACTAAGATAACAAATATATATTACTGTTAAAAATTAAAAATAAAATAGTATTAATACGTACGCAATTAATAAGTAATTTAATCATCACTATATTTTTAATCCCGGTAAAATCTATTCCGTACGTACGGTACGTGCGTAATAAATAAAAGATATATATAGTATATTATAAATTAGTTAAAAAAACAGTTTAATGTAAACATTGCAAATAAGTCTTAACCAAAAAAATAAAATCTAGTCTTACGTGTTGCAATTCAAGATCTTCAGATTTGTTTTAAGGTTGTTAATCGATCCTAATCGGATCTAATCTGCCCTAATCGGATTAAGGAAGTTGCCGGTTCTCGATGATTCATTCTTCGTAAGCTACTATAGAATTACCTAATAACGATAAGTTATAAATTAAAACTTTGAAACAGAACATCAAAACTACATACCAATAGTTTAGCATGTCGAAATCCCAATAGTATGTTCGAATTGCAGCCGAAACTTTGAAAAAATTTATGTATCAAACTATGAGTATTGGCCCGTTTCACTGACAACCCGCTTCACCAACAATTTAAACGATTTAGAATTACTAATCTTATTGTCGGCGAAATCTAATAGAACCCAAAAATTGTTCGTAGAATGATTTTTTCAACAAAATAGAACTTTAAATTACGGAAATGCTCTAAAATTTTTAAAATTTGAATCTATCTAAGAAAGATATTTAACTCTAGAGACGTTTTATTGTTTAATTTCATCACGTAAAGGGAATTAAATATTATAGCTTACGAAGAAAATAATCATCTTGGAAGTCGGAAAATTCTTTGGGCCAGATGTAAAATTGCGGTCCTCACATTAATGACTAGATTGTAAAAATTGTAATTAATCCATGATCAATATTTTATTATAGAAAAGGTTAATGTTTAAATAAGATTTTTTGAGTTACCTTAATTTACCTAACAATCTTATCGACAGCTAGTTAAACTTAGAATATATGGGGCCTATTCTAGACAAATGACACTCAGAGAATATGTAGATTTTAAGAACGAAACTATTAATTTGTTAGTCATTAAATGATCCAATCCGAAAACCTTTTTCTTATTTTGTCAAAAGCTCTACGAAATAATAATAAAAAAAAAAAGTTTATTCGAATTAAATCATTGAATGCCAACAAATTTAATAGTTTAATTATAAAATCCAGACTCATTCCTAACAAAAACAAAAACCTATTTGATTAAAAATACATAATCATTACTTGTAAAAGATCTATAAAACTTTTAAGGCTAATTACCAATTTATGATTCTCGCTATTCAGTTAAAATTTTTTCAATCTTACCCGACTAAATTCCTTCACGAATACTTAATTGCACTTCAATAAAAATAATTTATCATTTAAAAACCTTCATGTCCTAAATAGAAGCTGAATTTGATTTGAGCAATTTAAAATTTCGTATTTTAAATTTTGAATTTAAATATCGAATATTAAATTTCTCAATTTCTAGTCCTACACTTTAAACAATTGAAGAGAGATTTAAATATAGCAATAAAGGCGTTATAAATTTTGTTATATCAAATGCACTTAAAGGTTTCAGTTAAAAAAGGTAAAAATATGAGATCTCACGACGCGATTCCATTCCAATCACTTAGTCACGTGACGTCGCTGCGTCCAGATCGCCATTCGAAAGTTTTGATCATTCCTTAAACATGAACAAGTTTGTCATAAGGACGTAAATTATTCATCTGTTCCAGTCTAGTTAATTCAAAATAAAACTGAGCCAGTTAATGGTCAGTCCGAACTAAGTCCGAACTTAGTTTAGTCAAAGTTCAGTTCTTTAATATCGGCTTAACTAATAAACTGAACTAATAAAGTTCACGTCTAAACTTGGTACGACCTGAGTTCCCAACCATCCATAATTTGCCACCAATTAAGAAAAAAGAATTTATTAAAACGTATTACATACCTTTTAGGATAAGGAAATACTATATGATTGGGTTACTAGCTGTTTTTATAATCCAGATCTAATTGGCCCTTTGAATAGGCATCCTTTTATTGCATTTAAAGTGCATCCTTTTTTGAGTTCGTAGCAATTCTACTGGGTTATTTGGAAATTAGTAAATCGCAATTTATTATTATCAAAAAAAAAAAAATTTTTGTGGTCAGATTTACAAAAAACTGATTACCGAAAACTTTCTTACCAAAAGGATAAATAAAAGTTTCTAAACCGTTTGTGTGCTATGCCGAACAAAGAAAAGTATTATTGTTGAAAGAAATTTTCCATGCTCGTATTATCAATCTGATTCGGGTTACAATTTTTGACAATTTGTAATTCTTGATATTTAATGTTTCAGAAATCACACGTTATTTTGATATTTTTATACAGAATTGAAAAGCAATGAAGTCAACCATATGGTTTATAATTAAACAGTTAGTTGTTGAATAAAGAAGAATTTATACATCGTCACGTGATACGTCATAAATAAGTAAAAGTGTATGATGATTCATCCAAAAAGAAGTTTTATCAACGTTTTTTTACAAATTACAAGACTGTAAAATGTAGAAAATTTTGTTTGTTGAATTATGTTACAGTATATTAGCAAAGATAATCTTCTGAATTAAATGGAATATATACTTTGTTTAATGACAAAGGATCTTACTAATCGGAAATTCATTTAAACAAGGGCTAAAAAAAAAATGAACCTATATATATAATTTATTGACGCCACTTTTATACTTAAATGTGAATAAAAATAAAAATAGACAACGATACGCAATTAAAATATTTTAAAATCTAATACGTATATACTTTATTTTAAAAAAAAAAGTTTGCGTGAATGCATGATATCAAAATTGTACCCGGTTACCGACAAAAAAAATTCCAAAAACGGAACAACGCAAAACACAAATTCCTTGTTTTTGGGAATACAAGAGTTTCCTTAGCTGGAGCTTGGGCCTGGTACATACTATGTAGTACATTATATAACCAATATACGTTATATCTGTATACCATCTAATTGTGCCTAAATATGTACTAGTTGATTTCATATAAATTTGATTATTTTGGAATTAGTTGGTAGGACCAAAATTATCAATATTTCGCGCTCTGGTTGGTGTCATATAACATAGTAATCCACAAACCTATAACTTAAATTCGCCAATAGTTTCATTACGTATGTTGATATAGATTATATTAAGTTTTAATTAGTTAACAAAAGGTTTATGTATGCTAATGTATGCTATAATTATATTTTTGTCAAAAAAAAAGTTTTTTTTTTTGAGCATAAAGCGTATCATATGATCAATTATTTTGTATAATCAATGCTAATTACGCATACAGCATACATACATCATGCTGTAAGGACATACGAATCAGCGTGAAATTCCATATTAATTTAGAAAGTACTGTTTGATTTCAAATTAAGACAATCAGTAAACACTTACTATTATGAAAATGCACTAAATTTATGCGAGGTTAAAAGTACAATTTTTTAAGTTTAAAAACAAAAATAAAATAATAATAATAATAATAATAATAAAAGATGGACTTCATACGTATCACGAAATTTATCAATTAACTGTTCGAATTCATAGTATCGATGCAGGGGCAGTTTTTTTTTTTTTTACAAACACAATATTTGAGAATTTATTATTTCAAGCTTTATAATGATAATTTAAACCTAAAATCTCTAAGAAAAAATCAAATACATAATAAAAAGTTTTTTCTCGTACAGTACAATATAACCGCTTATTACTTACAATATATACTTTTTTTTTTTTTTTTTTTTTTTTTTGAGCATAATTTGTGATTTCCTACCTAAATAATATGATCCCGAAACCAACAGATCTATATAATATGTTAACATATTTCCATTGAAAATAAAAATAAAAAAATTTTATACTACATCATAACAAAATATCGTTATTTTCATCAAAGAAAATATTGTATAAATTTTCCTGCCCAATAGCGAAATTGTATTCAATAGGAGATAATTCTGCAGAAGGATAATTAAATTCTTGTAGCATGGTTGTATCAACGAAAGGTAAAGTCAATGTAGTATCAATACTAGCATTTTCGCTGGAATAAAAGGGTAAATTCTCCATTGACTGCATCTCATAGTTTGGACAGATGAAATTATCTGCTATAAATTGTTCTTTCTGCTGGAATAAATCAAAAATTTCTATAATGCGTTCTAAAGATTGCGATTCAACCTGTGTTTCTTGTAGCATATTTGTTACCCCATAACTTTCCTGAGGTGTGTTAATGCTGAGTGTAAGCATTTGTTCTTCTAAAGAGGGCTGCGTTTGGGGTGCTATAATGGATGAGAATGGTGACCATGGTAATTCTCTTCCTTTCCCTTCTTTGGGTTCTTCGGTAATAATATTACCTTCTGTTTCATCTCCTTCTTTCGGTCTTGGTTTAAATTTATAATCTGGGAAAAGTTCGCTATGAACACGACCGCAAAGATCTGCTAATAAAATATATTGATTTTTTATTTTATCCGATTCTCTTGCCCATAGTTTTCCAACAATTTGAGATATTTTTTCAAAATTCGCATCCGGATGTTTTTCTTTTATCTCATCTTGAAAATCCTTTCGGTACAAAATAAAGGCATTCTGTGGTCGAGTAATTCTGCCTCGTTTTCCTCTAGTTTTCTTGCAAGGTGCCAAAAGTTGTAGGATCGTGTGTCTAAACTTGAATTCATCTCTGTTAGAAATGAAATTGAAATCTCTACAATTCTTTTCTATTGAACGCTTAAGCCGTTCTTTGAATTCATGAGTTTCAAATAAATGTGGTTGTCTCTTTCTTCGTGGTTTTGTTGATTTTACTAAAGTGGCGTTTGTTTTCGGCATATTGTTCAATATGGTTTGATTTTGCCTGTTTTTTTTTTTTTTTTTTATCCGTTTTTTTGCCCTATTTATAACTTTTACCGTTTTCTTTTGTTTTTTTAATTCCTTTGTTTCTGGATATTATTTCATTTTTTTTTTCTTATCTTTCACTCGATTGTCATACTACCTATAAAGACAAATATACAAAGTTAATTTGATATTCATGAAGAGAACCAATACCGGCGGCAACGTTTCAAGTCTGACCCAAAGTCAATTTTTCTGTCCCATGTGTAACTAATTAAAACCACCAAAAATTATGTTACACTACTCTTTGTTATGCGTGTAATTCTATTAATAAAGTCATCGAAGTTTTCAAATCCACGTTTCAAGAACATATCTTGAAAAATTAATGAAACATGTTTGGTAATTTAATAACAACTTTAGCATTATTTTAAACGGACAAAGTTGTGTGTGACTAAAAATCAAAATAAATTTTAGTAAAGTCTGCTATTCCGTTTGCAAATTGCTAATCAAATTATATACTTTAAAATCAGATTTAGTAGTAAGACCAATAGCATATCTATACAGTTTATTGAATTCAAATTGGCGATCACGCGACTGATTCTGCGCGTAATTTATTGTACTGTAGCTGGTGATTTCATCGCTCTTTCCTTTTGTCTTTTATTCTTTTTATTTTATTCCCTTATTAAACGATCTCAATAAATAAAAAAAATTGATATTACTATATAAAGGTAGCTTACAAACCAGATGACTACTTGTGTCATATCATAATATGAACCTTAACTTCTAATTTTTTTGTTATCAGTGCGGTAGCTACTTACGTATGTATGTACTTTCAAAATTTTCGGACTTTACTAATTTTCCGAATAATACAAAGGAAAATGCTTTTTCACTATTTTTCACTATTTTTTTACTATTGTTCCCAGCTCGATTAGTTCGATTTAGGTTGATTTAGCCCTTATTTTTTTGAATTCGAATTTTATGCCGGTTTGCATTATCTTCCTTTTTAGGATGTGGGCTAAAGCGATGCGAGATCACAGACGATCGGCCAATCACAATTGTGAAATTTTAACTAACCTGGATCAGCCCAACAAAACAGAAAAAAAAAAGAGAAATGCGCAAAAATGTAAACGGTAGTCTAAACCAGTGTTGGCATTTGGATTATGTTCAATAAGTACTTGTTATAGGATTGGACAAATATGGACATGGACTAATCCAAATAGTGTTCATTTCTTTTCGGAATATTTCGGGAATTTATCTTATATCCGGAATATTTTGGAATAGCAAGCTCACGTGTTTGATTTTGGGATAAAAAAAATGTCGAGGATGCAATTTTTTATCCATAGGCCATTCTGACTCTAACCTTAAAATTGCCCAAACTCTAATGTTTAATTAAATAAATGTTAAATTGACATCTCACACCCCTTTAGCCGATTAAAGAATTTCTAAGGTTGTTCTTAGCATCT